TCTCTGATTGACCTTCCTGATGCTATCAAAACTGAGAGCAGTGAACCATGTGTTTTCCATTTGATTTGTTGTGGTTTTGTTCAATAGGTTAAAATCTAGGACATGTCTTGAAAGACAACTGACTGGGACCTCTCTGCTTGATGATGCTAGTCCATACTACCTGTAAGCTTTCCTGAAGCACTCACTCTTTCCAGTGGCAGAAGGGATGCCAGCTCCAAAGGGTCACAGCTTAGTGACCCAAGTCTGACTCACAGAACAGGAATAATTACTATTGAAAACCAAATTCATGGCTCCACTGGCATCTCATGTCATTAATAAGGCTAATTAGGATTTATCTGAGTCACGTTCAGAAAGTCAGGGAAGAGTTTAAGGCACTTGCAGACGTTAAGTGCTTCTTGCATCTCACCAAATTTCTGCATGTATAATAATTCTGACCTCTGAAACAGCAGACTGTAGACACAAGAATACAGGGACAGACAGAAGGGCTGAAGCTGCACAAGTCAAACACACCATGCCAGACAGCACTTCTGTGCACAGGAGCCTGACAGGTGGCTACGCTACATCTGCTGATAAGCTCCAGCATCCTGCTGCCTGTGCCAGCAAAGCATTTCCCAAATTCTGCTGTTAGCACAACCCAGGAACCGTGTCCAACAGGCAGCTTCCATGTGGGCACGCAGCTCAGCTGAAGGAGTTTAACAGTGTGGACAAGGTCAAATCTTGCCAGCTGGCCTGAGAACAAAAACCTGCTCTCTGCTAGTGCAGATGTTGCCCACAGCTGATGGGAGCCCTGGCAGTGCTCACTTCCTCACATGCCATCCACCATTTACTTTTTACAACTCAAAACACTGAAGAGCTGTCCCATTCTTTAAGGATCACCATCCCATCACTATACTGTCTTACCCTTTTATCACATATGTGAAGCTACCCCAAAACACACCTCTGTCTGAAAAAGTCATCTCTACAGGTGATAGTTAGCAATCCTTTCCCAGTTCCTCCATTTCCAAGTGAGGTGGCTAATGTTTTACAGCTGCTTTGTCTGCTATCATGTTCTAGGTGCCTCTATATTGCTGAATTTTAATCTGATTGCACACATAGGGGAAGGTTAGCTGGTTTGTGGTTCAGTGGAGTAACTGCACAACCCAATATAGAGCTACATACCACTGGATTTTGCTTACAGAGAGCTCTAAATAGTTATAAATCTTATCAAACAGAAAGTGAAGTACTTTGGTATGTTTCAGGAGAAATTCTATGATGCACCCATAAGTGAATGCCTGATTTCATAGTTCATGCATTATCTCATATTATTGCACTGTCCCATTTGATATTAATACCTTTAAGATGCTTTGTCTTGTAATTTCTTCTGAAAACAAGTCATTATTCAATGAGAAATAACATAGTCGAAAATTTGTATTCCTTCATAAGTTCCCTCATGTTGGCTGGCTTCACTGAGGTCTAATAAAAAGTAAGTGTTCTTACTGTCACAATGCTGCTGTACAATGTTTCTTCACTGCAATCAGTGTTATTTTGGTGGGATCAGTATGGGGGTCTCACTCTCTTGACATATGACTGCCTTTTTCATAGGAGCTTAATTGCTTCTGTGCACGCTTGTGTTAAACTCGGTTAAAATTGGCAAAAGAATTCTAAAATAATATATCAAAGGGGAGAGACAGCAGAAAAGGATACCTGAGTGTGCCTGAGCTCATTTCTTCAAGAACTTTCCAGAAGGTGAGGAAGAATGTCACTTTTCAATCTCATAACAGCTTAAACATTGCACAAAGTCCTTACCATGACCACAGGAACGATGCACAGCTTTTGGCTCTGTCAGTGTCATTCTGTGCATCCAAACAACCACATCCCAGTGCTTTTCAACATCACTGATCTTTAAGTACATCTGCAGCATGAACTGGCTAGATTTTGAAAAAAGTGCTCAATAGGAATTCCATTTTCCAGCTGAAGAATCCATGTGGTCAATAAAACATGAGGAAAAGCAGACATTAGAAGACGTGAGGGAGGACTTTACAGTGTTCTTATCTCTGAAGTCACATGACAATAGGTGTTGAGATTAGGGCCTTTTTAGAGCTGGGAGTTCATTTTCCAGCTAGCTCTACTGCTTTTCAAAATTAGCTTTGTTTATCCTGGTGCTAACATGAGGTGTGAAAATGAGGGATGTATTTATCCAATTCCAGTGATCAGGCTTGTCAGCGAGCACTCCAGGCCAACCCAGACAACTTGTCAGGCTCCAAATCTGTCTTACTGACTTCTAATAGTAAACTTTGCCCACAGTATTATAATACTGGCTCAGTTATCAGAGAGAAAGCACATTTTCTGTGTCCTGAAAAACTGAAGGATTCTTGGATTTTATCTTCCAAAGGGAAAAATAGACAGATAGAATGCTGTTCAGGCTGATATATAAACTGCCCTTCCAAAAAAATTCTGAAAGAGCAAACATATACAAACTGTAGAGAAGAAAAGTGCTAATGTTGGCTCATCATTCTGAGCCACGGCTCTGTTTCAAGGCTGATAGACCACAGGAGAGCTAGATGCTCCTGGACTGTTTTGGCATTAAAGATGTGGCTAAGATAAATAGCCAAGCCCTACAGAAGACTATTTTCATAGCTCACCCAGCCTGGCAGCTGGGCCTTGCTAAAACATCAAAGCATAAAAAATTGGCTCAGGCCACCTGCCCAATCCAAAATTCAAACAGTGGAACCAGCCTAGGCAATTAGGGAGAGGCTTATCACCAGGCAAAGACTGTATGCTGCATTCTTGCAGCAAAAAGAAAACCAGCTTTGTGAGTGGAATATCTCTAACACTATTAATTCTTGGAGGGAGGAAGTCTGTGCAATCACCTTTGTAAAGAAAGGCAGGTCTGAAGCACTGAGTTTCACATTTTTTCAGAGATTCAGCACATAGGAGTTGTCCTTGGTCTTAATGAGGTGAGGAAGATGGGATTTCTCCAGTGATGCCACAAGGGCATGGATCACTGAGAATTCTTGTGGCCAAGCACAATTTCTCTATTTGAGAATTTTTAAAGAATTTTGTCCTCTCACTATCCATCCTGCAAAATGCACATATCAGTGCTGCTGCTGGAGTCATTTACATTCAAGATCCTAAGAAGTTCAACAGAGTCGATGTTAATATTTTGCAAAATTGAAACCCAACATAAACAAGAAGACTCGAATTTCCTTTGGGTGTGGAGGAAAACAGAACATTTTTAAACCTGACCCAAAATTTAAATGCACATATAAGCTATGAAGCTCTTGAGTAATACACAGAGTGTAGGAGGTAGCCAGAAGAGACAAAAGAGTGGATAGGATGGGATTCTCTAAAGCCATAGCGAGATCAAACAAAAAACAGGCCCAGAGAAGAAAAATCCTGAAGGTCTGCTTGAAGCACTTCCACTGAGCAGGGAAACACCTGGATTAATGTTGTCTGTCCCTTTGTGTCCCATCCAGGCTATGACTGCACAGCCCAGAAACATCATGCTGAGAAACCCAAACTCCCAGGGCACTGAGGCTTTCTTCAACTTCTAAAATCAGAGAGGGAAATATGCTATGCTAGAGCAGAGCAGTAGTCTAAGTAATACTAAAACAGCAGGCATCTTTAAAGGCTTTTTAATTTCACTGGTGTCTTTTCTATCCCAAGAAAAGTATAAGCAAACTAATTCTCATCACTAGTCCTTACTTAAACTGCTCTCTCCCTCCTTTCCTAGCCATTTAGAAAATCTTATATTTTCTTAGTATTTTCTATTTCTTTTTCTTGGACAAAGCTGTAAGCCTACTGCAAAAAGGACAAGCTGCTATGGGCAACCTGTGCCTCACTGCAAGCAGCAGACAAGAGGGAACAGCAGCTAGATTACAACAAAAGACCATGAGGTTTCCACTCATTCCCCAGGAGACTCAGTGAAGGACCAGCTTCCAAGAGGAAGAGCTGACTATCCTCCTCTGCACAGGAGGTTACAGCAGATGAGCCCTGTGCAGCCACAGCAATGCCTGTGGCCTGCAGCAAAGCAAAATCTCATGCACTTATGTAGGTCCAGGTGTAATTTCTGCCTGCTTACTTCCACTGAGAACCTGATTCAGCTGTATTTGACACAGCACTCCAAAAGCCCTGGGTAGAAAGGAGATGCTGCCTAAATGATGTGTTTTCATGTGCACTTTGCTTCATTTTACAAAGCACCACTAATGTTGAAGCCCAGACACTGCAGCTCAGCACATTTAATCCTCCTGTGGGAAAGCTAGGGACAGAGCTGGTGTATCACCTTTTTGCTAATGGATAAAATCCATCATCCAAAGTAATTTAAACGATTCAGGATGGTCAAGTTCCTCAAGACAGCAATGACTGTGACTAAGACCCTATCTGAGGCAATCACACTCAAAGCCTTTTTTGCATTTTTGCTGAGAGAGAGGCAGAATCCCAGGATGCAGGAATTCAGCTGCTATGGAGCTCCTGTCTCTCTAAGGCTCAAGACTGAGGTCCTGGTGTCTGATTAAGGTACTTCAGCAAGGTAGCTGAGACTAAAATGGATAGGCAATATTCTCCAACTTCAAAATCTATGTTCATCAGCCTGCAGCAATTCCTAGAAAGGATCTGGAACTTGTTTAGCCAATGACAGTCCTTACACTGACCTTCTAATTGCTGCAGCTGTGGCTTTGCTTTTGTGTGGGTCACTGGATTCCAGTCCTACAGTCACAGAGAGCTAATGAATCATGGAGCAATAATTGTTTTAGTCTTCATCAATCAGTAATGTCAGGGAACGTGCTGGATACTGGCAAGTGTAGTTGCAGTTCATCTCTGTTTGAGCAGGATATAGATTCTTCAGGTTTTTTACTCCTCCTGCATGCCCCCTCCAAAACCAGAAAACAACTAATGGTCAGCATTGTTTAAGGTGGTGGGGATCAGCTCCCTTAGCAGCTCTCCTCAGCTGCTCTGATTTTCTGTCTTCTCATGTGTTTTCTTTTTCTAAAAGGACAGGTAATTACCCAGGACCAAAAAATCTATGTCAAAACAATCAGTAGTGACATCTTGTTGACTCCAGAGAAATTGCTGCAAAAATTAGTCTGACTTCACTATTCTTCCTTTCCTTGTAGCAAATGGGACAACCTATGTAGACCCTGACTGCCTGACTGTAGGCAGCACCAAGCAGGAGCTCACTCCAGTCACTCCTCTGGGGTTTGTTCCCTCTGATATGACATTTTTCTCATTTGATGCTCCCTGACAATGTCTCCCTGCCTTTCTCCTCCTTCCCTGCTCACAGGCTGTCATGAGATCAAGGTCACTACTGGAATTAGGGTCATAAACAAAAGAAAAAAAAAAAAAAGCAAAACTGAAAAAGTTTTCTTTCTGAACTTGTGAAAATACACATATTTCACCTTGCTGCCTAGCGTGTGTACAGAGGAATGGGGAGGGATTTTAGGAGAGAGCTTTGACAGACAAGCAAATAGATGTTTATCCTTCCTCTAAATGCTACTTCACTCTGCACTTTCTTTCCCCCAAAACTCCTCATAAACTAACCTAAACCAGTCCATTGCAAGAAAGGGAAGGACAGGAAAGGAATTGTAGTGGTAAATGTTAGTTTGGCAAATAAGCCAACAAAAAAAAAAGTGAAGAAAAATATTTTCTCCTGTAGCAAGGGACTTGTTCATCATTTACCTCATATGTTTACCCTTGGGCTATCATTATATTAGCCACATTTCCTGACTGAGCTGGAGCACCTGGTAACTATAGTAACCACATTTTCATATCTGCCCATAAATTCCCTCTGTTCTAATTAAGACACCCATTTATAACAGCAATAACAACAGAAATTACAGCAGACTTAGCACAGATGCAGTCACCTCTCTCTGCCTCATGACACAGAAATGACCCCTATCTGGTTTAGTTCTTAAACCATAAGATGTCATTTATGGCACAAAGCCTACTTTACTTGCTACTTGAACCACTTGTATCCATCTGCTATGATGCCTGTACCTTCTCACTTCCTAGAAAGTTTGTTCATCAGTCTTTCAGTTCAAACAAAAGCCATCAAGCTTCATATCAGGCTGCATAAACCTGTTTTTTCTTGACAGAAGAAAGATCTCACACCTTGCTTACAACAAAATTGCACACACAGCACTCTTCAGATTTCACAAACAGTAGGTGGATGCTTTCATAAGAAGGCCTGAGCTGTTCAGTTTACAAGTTTACCTATGCAACCCAGGCAGTTTTAAAGCGAGGATAAACCATGTCATCCAAAACAAATGATAGGCAAATGATGAAGCAGCAATGTACAAGAAATCAAGACCAAGTAATAAACAATTGCAAAGTTCAATGGCTTGGTGTATTTCATCACAAATTATTTCCTCCTCTATCAAACAATAATGCTTAATGAACAATTTGAAGCCTGCTGACATGATTTAAAAAGATGGATGGGCTGGTAGGTAGCCGAGAGTGTTTGCTTTATTGTTCACAGAGTCACTGCTCGGAAATATATTTGTCTTTGAGACTATGTGAATTATTGCCAAAAAAAGTGACAAATCTCTTTCTCAATTTAGGCTACATCATGTAGGCCTTACATGACTTGCTTTGCAAGAAGAAAAAGGAATTTCATCTGTGTATTGCCAAAGATAAGACAATAAACCTCGTCTCTGCACAGGTGAACAGAGTGGTGCTGCTTTGGCTTTAGATTTGGAAAACTTCATTCCATTAGAATTTTTTCTCTTGTTAGAAAAGCACATCAATTATAATTTATCCATGACTATCAATAAGGATATTTTCTCATAAACCTTTATCCATTTTTCCTCTACATTCCCTGAGGCTGAGGGAACTGAGTAAAAAAACACACTGCACCCTGGACTCCTAGGACTGTGGTTGTAAAAAGCAGGTAAGGTTTGTTCATTGCATTCTATTTTACAGCTTAATTTGCTCTTTACACCAAATAATGAGAGCTTTCAAAGCGAACAGTGCTGTGATGAGAAAATGTAAACTTCACAGTGAATTGCCAAAGAAAGATTCCAGTTATTTTCCAATTTAGTCATCAAGCACTGTTTAGAAGCATGGATAAAAAACATGGTAATTATGGAATTCTAATATAACCACAAAAATTGGTTTAAGATGCTGCCAGATGTGAAGTACAGTAAAGTTCAATGTCATATATATGTTTTTTTCATTTAATAAGTGAAAAACAATTTCAGTCACCACCAGACTGGATTAATTTTTGCCACCTCCCTCAGCTCATGAGGTACTGTTTGGGACTTGGGTGGAGGGTCCCCTGTTGCCACTTGTTGTTTTACTTTATTGTGCCACTTGTTGTTATACTTTCATTTCTCCATCAATTTCTTATTTATTCAGGCTGTAGTGTGCTCAGAGAGATGGGCATTTGCAGTATGCATGATGTATAATGAGGTTCTAGTCTGAGTGGAAGCCTCTAAAACTGCCCATCATACTTCTCTTACTAGCTCTTCCCATTTTCATCAAGAGGGAATGCTCTCAAGCTATCAAAATCTTTCCAAATGACCCAACAGTAACCACTGCAGCCCAGAGTACTTATTGGCTTGTTAAATATTAGAAATAGAATGTGAAGATCATGTTTAATTTGATTTTCCCAGCTAAGGAAAGCAAATCTTTGACAGAAAAATAATTGCCCTGAGAGTACAAAAAAATAACTAATTAAAAGTGAGATTAAATAAAATGTTCCTATGTGATCTCTTGAGCTAGTTTCTTTTCAAAGACATGCTTTACCTGGCACAATGTGTGGTTTTCGCGACCCCCATGTAAGGTTAAGTATTTCTTGGTAGTTGCCTGGAAACAATGACAATGACAGTTTGTTCTCATTAGGGACAAATAGTGCAGAAAGGCTGTTACAATTGTACTTCTGAACATTTAAATAAATTAATTTGTTTTTTCTTTCCAGAGATACAAGTTCTGAAATATTACTAGAACTGTTGCCATGAAATAGATTCCAACTTACACAGATGAGTATGCTCATAAATTCACTTTAAATTTCCACTATTATTATTATTATTACTATTATATTATCATTATCATCATTAACTAGTGCTGAGCAGAATACAAGCATCTTGGCATTGGATTGTTTTTGTGTTTTGTTTTATTCCTGGTCTGTACACTACTTTGTAAAAAGGTCCTCTGAAAAGTAGCTTTCAAAGCTGCTGCTTGGAAAATCACCAAGAAGAGCAGAAACCAACCCAAAAATTGCTACCATGCAAATTAGGAAGGAATTAAAAAATTCTTCACAGGAAGGAAAACTCACAAGTTTAGTTCTTTATTCACAGTTCATTGAAACCCACTACTGCTCTGGGCTCACCCGGAGACAGGCTTTGGAGCTTCAGGTTCACAGCTGCTCAGCAGGGCAAGATCAATCTGTACAAATTTTACAATTTAGGTGGCTTGTGGGGTCACTATGGATCCTTCAACTCTGTCAGATAGCAAAACTGTGGCCCAGACCCCTGCCTCTATTTTCTGTCAAGGCTTTCCTCAATGGCCAGGAGATACCATGGTCAGTCATGGGAAGCACAGACCAAAGCACCTTCTTTACAGAAATCAATGACAAGTGAAATGAAAACTAATTCATTTAGGATTAGAAGGAGAGCATCTTTTCTGAAAGTATTCCAAGCAAATATTTCATCATGGGGATGGAGCAAGTGGAGAGGTAAACATATTTGTGATATTTAAGTGCCACAGTTTGCAATCCTGCAGGTTTGTTCTGCATTTTATCTGCAGCTTGCCTGTTATATCATATTTGGCTTGGGTTCATATAATTGATTTTGAAGTGATCTGATGGAGGGGAGTTCTGTGGTCTTACAAGTAGCAGACATCTTATTTGTGGCCAGAGTCAGGAAAAATCAAGAGATTTACATACTTTCACTGAAAGGCACTGCTATATTTAGTACCTATACAAAATTTAACACTGTGTTTAGCGAAGTCCATTCCGTCACATTAAATTTTCTTTCTTTTTTTACAAGAGAGATGCAACACATTAGGAGAAGCAATTAAGAAAGACTAAAAGGGGAAACATCAGATCATTGCATTAACTTTGGGGATTTCTGTTTTGTTTTGCTGATTTTTTCAGAAGGAAGACCACAGACCACATAAAAGATGATGAACAACAGGGAACCATCTTCCTGATGGGACAGAGTTGCATGAAGCTGCCATGAATACAGGTTAGTAACCTGTAATCCTTGAAAAGGGAGAACTTTTCCATTTTGTTCCCTAAAGCAAGATAAATTCCACTTTATGGAAAAGCTTACAAACAGCTGGTTTAGCCAGCCAGCTGGAGAGATATGACCAGAGAAGAAGCAGATGTTATAAACAACAAAAGAAGTTTGCCATCTAGCAATGCTGGGCATAAGAGATTAAGGCAAACTCCATTTGATTTAGAGAAATTAAGAGAAAGGCTGTGCCAGACAAGGAAGATGTGACAAGAACACTTTCCACAGAGCTGTCTTCTCCACTGTGGCATTCATATTCTCTGGACAGAGAGACATAATTCTGTCTCTTATGATTTCTTGGAGAAGCATAGAGATAAGAAGAGAAAACAATCTTTATCTCTCCTTTGTTTTCCCCATGTGGAATGTGGTATGGAGATTATTTACCTGCAGTGATTGCTGGATTGGACTCTGGTGAAGGTTGTTTGGGTTCAGTGACCAATCGCATCCAGCTGTGCCTCGAACTCTCAGCAGAGTCATGAGTTTGAGTTAGGTAAGTAAAAAGTATTTAGAATAGTATAGTTTATCTTTAAATAGTATATTAATGTAATATAGTATAATTTTAATAAAGCTATTCTTCAGCCTTCTGATCTGGAGCCAGACATCATCATTTCTTCCCTGAGCCGGGGTTCACCACATTTTACTATACTCCACTGCTGCAAAATCAGTTTATAACTGATTCAATAGAAATTGCTGAAAGACAGTATGCAAGGTATTTCCCCAGAAGCTTTATGTTTCCAAAAAGCATGGGGCATGGGGAAGAATCTTTGGAAGGAAAACATAGTTTATCTTGATTAATAATGACTGTCCAAATAGCTAATAATTTTTTTTGCCCGAGTTCAGATATTCCCCTGAAGAGGACTGCAGAATTGAAGCTGAATCAGAGGTACAAAAACTTTGTGGAAATGAACCACCACATACAGTAAACTGGCTCATGCCTGTGCCCTCTCAGGCTGCTGGAACGAACACTAGTCAGAATTATGAACAGAAAATAGCTGTAAATTTATCTCCTTGCTCTCAGTTACCATTGGAAATCACAATGTATTTTCAAGCCCAATTCCATGCATGCTTGTCAGATGGCTATAAGTAAGATTTTTCACACAATGTAGAATTTGAGAAATTTTCAAAGCAGTCATTTGCTACTCACAATGTGTTACATCGAAGTTGCATCTGTCTTACATATCTGTATCTCTCCTCTCTGACTGGAAAACTGAAATTTTCTCCACAGAGAAATCGTAAGAAATGAATAAACATGTTCCCATGACAGTAACCCCTGCTTATCAAGGAAAGTACTTCTAGTTCTACAGTTGCAATGGTAGTTTACTATTATAAATTCTAGGCTCTTGCAGAGACTTGGTACAAAGTACCACTAAGATTTGAATCTGCATCATCTCACACTTGACTCACTGCCAGAAGCAAAATTTTTACCTGTGGCAAAAAGCAGCCTCTGGTTCAGGCAAAAGGGGCTACAACAGAACTGGAGTGAGAATATGCAAATACCCTTTTGCAGCATTTTACCCACTTCAGTGAGAATACTTCAGTGCCTTGTGCAAGACAAACAGACCCATCCACTCAAAGAAAAAAGCTCCTCTGCCAATTTGAAAGGTGCTCTAGTTATATATGAAAATTGTAGGATTGACTGAAGAAAAAAATTGAAAAAGAACACATCTGTAATTCTGTTAAATCCATTTTATGACCTACTCTTAACTCTGATTTATCTTGCCCAAGGACAAGTGTGTCTACAGCAATGAGTACTTTTAGCCAAGTGTATCATCACTGCCTACAATCCTTTTCTTCACACACACTAAGCAGGCTTTTACATAAGTAACTAATTCACAGCCCTTTCCTCAGATACAAAGTCATAAGGCAGATGGATAGACATATGTATAAGCACTACTAGCTGCTAATGGAGCCATTTGCACTCAACAACATGACACCAGCTTGGGATATTTTCTAGAAGAATTTGTTTTTATAAATAAAACCTTGGCATCCTGAGACTGATATAATCCTGCTTTCATGCAACCTGTGTGAGACATTTAAAGGGGCACTGGCATTCTCCTTTCATCCCTCTCTGCTGAAATTTCAGTAATACCCACTTCACAATGTGAAATTTCATCACAAAACCCACCATGCTGACATGGAAACTATATGACTCTGAACTTCAAAGCCCACTTTCCTTTAACTTCCTTTTGTCTTTTTTTTCTTAATGCAGGAGAACAGACTCCTGAGAGACATATTTAGGTTTTACTCAAGAAAATCCCTACATATTGTCCAAAATCAAATTTAAATGGAACAAGTGTAAATGAGCATATACAATGAAAGACCAAAGCATTAGAAGTCTTCTTCCAAAAGATGTGTCTCCATATCAGGAATAGAAAATGTGCTTACCCATTCATGCATTTTCTTTCAAGGTCCATCCCTATGGGCATCAGAATTTTCCATATATGTGGAAGGACTATAAATTCAGAGCTTCAGTAAGAGGCACCAAGTCTCCATTAGGGAATGAAAGACAGGTTCATGCTGGGATCCTTTATAGAACTACACTAGACAGGTGGCGAAGTGATGCTGCAAGAAAGCAAACAGGATGATCTCCTATTTAGAGCATTCAACTGGCAGATAGTTTCTGATTTTAGGTGCTGTTGATGAGCTCTTTCCCAAGGGGTTACCTGTTGTGGAAGATAGATAAATAAGATTGTCCATAAATAATACAGCCAGGATGAGAACAGTTCTCCCAGCTGGCCGGATGGTGCCCCTGCCTGCGGATGGGTCCTGGCGTCAAGTGGACTGTTCCATCTCACCCCCAAAATGTATGGTTCACCCTGCACTTGTACCCTCCCCTAAAACATCAAGTGCCTGTAACCCCATTGGCCTGAGCCTTGTTCCAACCCACCTTCAAGCTCCTTGAAAAGGGGGCTTCGAGGGGCCACGTGGTCTCTTGGAACTTCCCCTCTCCTAGAGCATCCTTTTGTCTCTCCCCTCCCCCACCCTCTCAAGCCTGGCCACGTGCTGCGTCTGGCAGCTTGAGGCAGGATCTTCTGCACCCCCAATAAACCTCTTTCCTCAAGAGCAAACATCAGAGATCTCTGCCTCCTTTATTCTACACCGTGCTGGAGCATGGTATTTTCTACAGTTACCTGTAACAAAGCAGCTCTGTTAAGGCTGTCAATGCATTAACAATCTTCACAGGAGTTGTCTTTGCCTTTTGCATGTAAAGCCTTCCCTTTGGCAGGATCATTGCATATTGTTCATATATTCATTCAAAAGCTGAGAACTCTTTTCCAGGCTCCCATGTAAACATTTATAGCTAGGTTTAAAGAGAGTTTATTTTTTAAAAAAATCATTCTTTCATAAATATTTAGAGTTTTTCAACATTTACCCAGCAGTATCAATAAATAAGTAAAATTACCTTCCCCCACAAAAAGAGACGATATACAAAATTTACACTAGAGCTTTAGCTTATTTTTTCCATCCTTGACTTTTTAAAGATGGTTTACTTCTCCCAGGTGAAGCCAATATATAACTATAGAGGGAAAAAAAGTGCACAAGGAAAAGATTCTCTCAGCCATTAGGACTTTTTCACTGGCAACTCTGTGTTTTCATCTGTGAATTTTCTAAGGCAATGGCCAATCTCAAACCATGGTGCTGAAGTAACAATTTCATGATAAAACTAACCTTTCCAATAAACATCTCTCTGAAACACTCTACTATTCATTTTCAAAGAGACAGAAGGATTATGATAATGATTTGGATATCTATTTTTTTTTAAATTGCCTTCCAAGTCTTCCTTATTCTAATGTAACGCCCAGAGTCCTTAGCAAATATGAATTGCATCTAGAAGGGGAGAAAAAAACCATGGCAAAAACAAATGTAACCTTAGAAATCACTGATGTAAGTAGGTTCATTTCTTGTACTAAAAACTATTTGAAAACTAATATGCTGCATGTTCCTTCCTTGCAGAAAATGTAAATTGATCTTTCAGTTTGAATACCTGTCAAAGTACAGCCACTATAACATTGATAAGTCATTTCGCCCGTCAGCTGATAATGTCTGATGTACTGCAAAATCACACATAGCTCCACAAGAACTGCTGGACCAGTTTACTTCAATTCAGGGTAGAGGGAGTTCCCTCTTGGAGAATTTGACAACAGCATGAGTGACCAGCACCACCAACACCTCCCAAAGTGTTGTGTGAATACAAGTAAATGTGATTAAATAGGTGACTAAATCAGTTGATGGTATTTCCCAACAAAATAAATCCACCTTCCCTTCCCTTCCCTTCCCTTCCCTTCTTTTCCCTTCCCTTCCCTTCCCTTCCCTTCCCTTCCCTTCCCTTCCCTTCCCAATATTACCAGCAGCTCTGAACCTAAGGATGGGTAAATTTTCTAAAAAGCACTTAAGAAGTCACAGCCAGTGCTACTGGGCCATTCTGGACAAAGTCACAATGGTGCTGCTATGCAGAGACCCACCTCAAATACAATAACATTTAGTATCCACTCTGAAAAAAACTGCATGACACAATGGCTTACTTTACCAAAAAGGACTATTAAAAAAAAAAACAACCTCTTAAACAGCCTTATATTTCAACTACTTCATGTAAAAGGCTCATCCAAGGTTGTGGTTTATGCCAGTTTCAATAAAATACACACTACTGTGGAAAAAGAGGCTTTTGGGGAGGCATGGAAGTACTGGCTATCTGCTACCCTTTTTGCTTGTTTCTAAACTTAAGGTTTAGCACTCACCCTACCCATAATTTTATATAGATACATTTAATGGAAGTTTCTGGGTGATGTCACTTCCTAAATGGGACTCTTTTTCAGAAAATACTGAACAAAAGCAAAATTGCCTTGGTTTTTAACAGAGCTGGGAATTCACTCTGAGAGCAGCAATTTTCCCCTGACTTTATATTTTGAAGTAATATGTCTTGAATAACCCTAGCGTGTGTGCTCCTTCCAGGAGTACTGGGAAAGGACAAGATCACAAAAGCAAGAGCAACTCATTTACTAAGTGTACAGACTTCTGTTGAATACTCAAGATTACCTACAGGTTTAGTGAAACTTTCAGACCATCACAGCAAGGTAGGAAAAGCCCAAAAATGTGTTTTCCAGATTTGATACCTTATTTCTCATTTGCCTTTTTTTCAGGAGCCATCCTTTCTCTCACAAGTGCATAATTTTGCCACAACCACTGGCTACCTATGAGAAATTACTTTCAGACTATTAATTGTCACTAAACACTTAATCTCAATTATTTGTTATTTGAGTGCAACTGGTCTGCTTAATTACTTGCTTCTTTTTGTGCCCTCAACAGATGGATGAGCATACTCAAATCAAGAGAATAACCAAGTTGAAAAACAACAAAACCTTTCTTCTTTTTTATTTTAGCCAAAGAAAGAGTGATGACATGCTTAAAATCACCACTATTTAAATATTTTTAGTTAAGTTACATGCTCACAAGACAGAGTTCTCAATGAGCTTGTCCTGTAAACAAAAGCAGCTGCTCTGCATGCAAATCCTTTCTGCTGCGCTGAGGTTTTCCTGTTTCCTAAAACTACCTGTGAATCCTGAACAAAAAGAGATACCCAGCAGGAAGCAAAGGGCAGGTTTTGGGGGTGTCATTTCTCAGAGGGAGCTAAGCAAGCATACAAAGCAAGAGGTGGGTTCTTTCAGCATTGAAGATGACAGAAGGACAAAGGAGCTGGTCATACCCTTGTAGATTTAAGCTTTCAGCCCAAAAAAAACCAAATCTCACAGGTGTTGTTTGAGCCTGAGCAGATGCTGCAGCTCTGGCTATGGCTCAGGCATTACCAGTTCTGCAGGCACAGATCTCTGTCACCACTCAGATACTCTTCAGTGCAAAAAAAAAAAAAAAAAAAAAAAAAAAAAAAAAAAACAAAAAAAAAAAAAAAAAAAAAAAAAAAAAAAAAAAATCTGTGATATTTCTATTTCCATTTCTAATATTTCCATTTCTGTCTATGAATTTTTTCTTGAGTGGTATTTAGGGGTCTGAAAGTTACCTGAACACCAAATCCCTTCCCCTTTGATGAGGAAATAGAGGAGAGCTTCATAAGAGGTGAGTTTTCCTTTCCTAGAAATCACAAAGACCTCCTAAAAACCATGCACAGTTTTTGTCAGACTGACAAAAATCCCATCGTACAGGACAAAACAAACATGCAAATTTTGTTCTGGCTTTTAAAAAGGAACAAACAAAAATAAAAACCCATCCAAACCTGGGAGGAAAAAAATAGATTCATAATATTGGTGCTATTGCAATAAAAGGTTTGGGTGTGGACAAGCTACCGCTGCCAAGCAAGGCAGTTTTAGAAATGAAACCTTTAGCTCTCAGTTGAGTTGTATCCTGTCTTAAGTCAGTGAGGAATTCAGCTGTTCAGCCAGAGAGTTATTTAATGAGGGTTGTGTTCAGCCTGTGGGACTTCCCTCCCACTGCTCTGCTCAGGCTCCCTGTCCTCATGCACTCACTCATAGAAGTGATGCAAAGTGGGTATCACATGCTCTGTTTAATAATATGCAGAAACTTTGTTCTACTATTTGATTTTGTTTATTTGTTATTTGTTATTTTGTTATTTGTTTGTTATTACAAACATCTAGCTTTTAGCCTGGTATTCTTCAGTTTTTCTCAGGTGCTCACTTTTTTTGCCAGATGCAGACCCAATTCCTTCAAGGAACCCTCTTCTCCTCTCCCTCCTTCTCCTTTCTCAATCACACCGAAACTAACATTGTCTCTAAGCTTCTCTCTGCTTTCAAACACAGTTTCACACTTTCTGTCTCAATTCTTTTACATGCTTGTCAATCCCATTTGCTTCTCAGTGTGGATAAAACCAAACTGGCTTTGCTTAGAAACAACAGACTTTTCTGGGAGTTATACTATTTCCTGAATATTGTTCCGATTTCCTGCAGAGAGAATTGACTGCAAAAGGCACACAGCTATTTTTAAATCTTCTCTTTTTTTTCCCCCGCATTCTCATCTGCTCCAGATTAAAACTCAAAGGGATTTAGAACAGATGCTTCCAGCTCATCATCCCAGTCCCTCATACTTTAATACCTCAGGTCATCTTTGTCAGGAGCTTGAAATGTTCCATGTTACATGTAAAAGTTTAACTTCCATCTCTCAAAAACTTCTCTTCCTGAAATTCTAAATATATTATCTCTGTTTCTCCTAAATCTCAAATTTCTCAGACACAGAGCCTGAAACCTCCTGCTGGGAACAGAACTCCCTAAGTTTTTTGAAGAAAACCAGGTCCTTAGAGAGTGGGATTTATCAAGCAGATCATTATTAGTAAGAGGGCCTGTGAGGTATTTGGTTCCTCTAGCCTTGTGAGAACATGGGTGCAATGCAGGTCTGGTTGGTATGGTTAGCACCCCTTTCAGTGAAGAAAATGTGCTACTTCTTCAGTACCTCAGAAGGCTCCAAGTTACACCTAGAGATAAACCTCTGAATAACCCCAAATCCAGAAGAACAGCCTCAACACGGGATTCCTGCCAGGTGTGTACAGAATGTGTGTGCATGCACAGTACACACAAGGATGGCTGTGCATGACAGGGCTGTGCACAGGAACCAGAGTGAAGTCCAGCAAGTCAGCCCAGCAAGACATACTGAAGGGGATGAAGGAGTAGAATGAAAGATCTGTGCAATGAGCAGAAAAAAGTAGGAACTGATTTCTCCATACTTTTCCTATGTGTAAGTACTCAAAAATGGTGCCACAGCATTGGCTGTGCTTGCAGTTCTTTTCTCTCCATTCTTCTAAAAGAACTAAACAGCCCTGTTGGCTGCCAAACCAAAATTCCATTTTCTCAACCACATTTCACTGTCTGTCAGTCCATTAATACTTCCTAGATAAGAAAATAACTAACAAAACCTGGCTAGAGTTGAGTTAGAGGGACCAGAGTAATGACATCAGACAATGCTGCCTCTCATTTGTCTTTACATGAAGTATCGTTAACCAAGATTTGAGAGAGCTTGGGCTTTGAGAGAATTATTGAACACAGACTATTCTTTCTGATACTGAAAGAAAAAAAACCTAAATATTCTAATTTACATGAGCAAAGGTAAAGGGATTCTAAGCAAGGTGTATTTACAGCACCTTGTGTACAAATCAAGAGGAAAAGGCACAGCAGGCATAGAAAAGGATATATGATGCTGCTTAAATCTAAAAGAGACCAGAAGTTGTTGGTGTGTTAGTCCTTTTCTCACACCAACAGGATGCTAAGGTCCCCCTTCAAGCAGTGTCTGCTGCCCTGTGAAGGCAATGGTCCCCTCTTGATCCTTTCCAGCTGCCCAGCACTGGCC